CCCTCCTTTCTCTACCGTCTTCCCCCGAATAGAACGCACCCCCCTTTCCTTTTCTTTTTTGGGCCAATTTTCAGGCCCCTTTTTCTTGATTCCTTGTGCACTACTACCGTCTTCCCCCGAATAGAACGCACCGTCATTATAGCTGTATTTGGGGCAACTTTCAGTCTACATACAGAGATAATGACCATGCGTTCCATTCGGGGGAAGATGGGTAGTATTTGATCCGACGAATGGATGACGAGAACTACGTACTCACGAGCGGTCCAGCTGGACGGCGCTGGTTCTCTTTTTTTTTTTTTTTTTTCTCGGTCGATTTTTGTTTTTTCCTCGACTTTTCCGTTGATTTCTTTTTTTTTTTTACGTTGATTCCTCCTTTTTTTTCCTCTTAATTTCCGTTGATTCTTTCCTGTTTGTTTTTCTGTTTATTCTTTTTTTTTTTTTTTTTTTTTTACTTTGATTGCACTTGATTCCTTTTTTTTTTTTTTTTCGGATTTTTCCGTTGATTTTTTTTTTCCCCCGATGATTCTTTTTCTGGTCCGTCCGGGTTTTGTCCGTGCATGGACGACGGAAAAAAAAAAAAAAAAAAGAGTGCCATGCCCCCTTTTTTTCAATTTCTTTTGCCATGCTGGACCCCGGAACCAGCAAATGTGAAATCCTTGCTATTTGGCCCTATCGTTTTGTCTTCTTCTTTTTTTTTTTTTTTTTTTTTTTCCCCCTTGAAGTTCCTTCCCATTTGGCCCTATCGGTGTTTTTTTTTGTTGTTTTTTTTGTTTTTTTTTTTTCCCTCCGGCCCTCATCGCTGCCAGCTGATGGCATGGCAGCATGGGAGTCTAAATATGTCGTGTTGCTAGATAGATAGGCTAGGCGTCAGGTGCCCCAAATAGAACGCCCGGTCATTACTGCTGTATTTGGACTGAAAGTTGCCCCAAATACAGCTATAATGATTGTACGTTCTATTTGGGGGAAGATGGTAGTGGGTTCTGTGGCTGGACGTTTGATTGAGGGTCACCGTCGGGTTGTATGTAGATCCAATCGTGGGCAGATTCAGCCGGACCACTAGCCGGACAGCCCAGCATATTTCCGGAATTATTTATATAATCTTGTGTGTAGCATAGCAAACATACAAACAAACTGCTTTTGCCCCCCC